CTCCATCCCCCTCCCCCTCGTCGTCGTCCTCACGCGCGACTCGCGCGCCCTCAGGCAACCCGCCATACACGCCCACAAACCACCCCCACCTCTTCATCGCCCTCCTCTCCTCCTCCCTCACCCCGCCCCTCCCCCGTCGCTTCGAGTTAGCGCTCTTCGTGCCGCCCAACACCTCAAGCGCCGCGTCGCGCTCTGCCGCGGATGGCGCGAGAACGACGTACGTGCGTCCGGCGTGGTCCGTGCCGAGGGGCGCGAAGCGCGGGGAGAGCGACTGGTGGGCGATGGAGAGGGAGTGCGTGAGGGACGCGAGGTGCGCGTTGTGGATGTCGCGGTCTTCTTTCGTCTGCGTAGCGCGGCGATCAGTCGACGGTTCAAAAGCGGAAAAGTGAAGGTGAAGGGAGGAGACGTACGGGATTCTTGTTACTCTTCAAACAGTCCTTCTTCACGCCCTCCCACCGCTCCTTCTCCTCCCGCCTCCGCTCCCGCTCCTCCCTCCCCGCCTCCGCCATTCTATTCGCACACTCGTCCATAACGCCTTTCACGCCCTTGCTCCGCATGCACACTTCGATCATCCGCTCCACGACGCGCACCATCTGCGCCGTACACACGACATTGACCTCGCCCTGGCCGACGATCTTCATCTCGCTCCTCGTCATTCTGCTCCTCAGCGCCGGCGGGGCGAGCGGGTCGGGGAGCGCGAGGACGTCCGAGACTTCGAGGAGAGCGGCGTATTGTTTGTGCAGGGAGGAGCCGGCGTTGCGGATGCCGAGCGAGGCGGCTTTGAACGCGCGCATCGTATCCTTATCGTCCTCCACGCCCTCCGCGTCCACAGCCAGCGCCAACAGCCCCAACAACACACCCCTCAAACACCCCTCGCTGACCCACCCCACCCTCACGCCCACATCCACCTCCTCTCCCTCCCCACCCCCCTCCTCCTCGTCTGGCTTGCCCCCGCGCCCGCCGACCTCCCCGAGCTCGTCCATCATCCCCTTATTAACATCCGGGAAGAACTCGCAGAACCGCAGCACGAAGTCGTGGATGTGTGCGCGCGAGAGGGCGTGTGGGAGCGTGAAGGAGGATGGGAGGGGGAGCGGGGACCAGAGGGGCTGCGGGGCGGGTTTGGGTTTGCGGGTGTAGGCGCGTTTGGGCTTGGCTTCGGGTGCGGGCGCGGGGTTGCTGGAGGAGGCCTTTGCGTTGGCGGTGGTGGATTTGGTGGGCTTGGGTTTGGGAGGGGGCGGAGGGGCGAGTTCTTTAGCTTGCGCTTCCTACATAGATGGATCGGTATTAGCGCATATACTTACAAATGATCAGATTGGGAGGGGAGGCTCACGGTCAAGTTCTTATTGTTCGCCAACATCGCCGCGACGCTGTCCGCGCCTGTGCGTTTCATCGTTACTGTGAGGTTTCTGGGGCGCATATATCAGCTTTGTGTAATTGTGACAAGGGTGATAGGGTGGAAGAGAGGGTGGGGAGGGAGAGGGATGAAGAAGAGAAAGAGGCGTACCCCGTCGGCGGCAACCCCGCCGCCTTGCGACACGTCCGACAATTGCATATCTTCGTGCACCGCGGGCATCTACACCACACACAATCAGCAACGCAAATATCCTGAAAGCGTCGAGAGTCGTACTTGAAAACATGCTCGACGTCCGTGACATACTCAACCAGCTCCTTCCCCTGCAGCGTCCGCGGGTGCCGCGCGCGCAACGCGTCGATGTCGAGCCCGTACCGGTTCTTGAGGCACGTGCGGCAGTACTTGAGTTTGCAGCGGCGGCCTTGGGCGCCCGTTGCGGAGCGGTAGGTGCATTGCAGGCCCTCTGCGTTCAAGTTGTCAGTTAACTGTAAAAAGGTCGGGAGAGAAAGAGGGAAGGGATATACCTGACGTATCGCGTTTCTGCACGCATTGATGGCAGTGGAAGTACCCGTTCGGGTATTGCTCGTTCCCATCGCCATCCTTCGTATCTTTCCCGCCTTTAACCTCCCCGCCCTTCTCGCCGTCCACCTTAGCCCTCTTCTTCTTCGGCTCCTGCCCACCACCATCGCCATTATCACGTTTGCGTTTGATAGACGTAGGCTTATCGTTCAAATTCGAGTTGGCATCCTCGGGCATGTTCTCGTCACTAGGCGTCTTAGGTACACCTCCCCGCGAGTCGCGTCTGTAAGGCGAAGGCGGGATGTTGACGTATACTTGTGAGAACCGGCGCGTGGTAGAGCGCGGGGCCGCAGATGTCATCTCCACTGCTCGATGGTGATGGTTGCGGGTTGAGTGGTGGTCGTGGTCGGAGCGAGAGATTGTCGGGTCACTTAGCCGCGGTTGCGATTCGGGGGGCGTGGGGACAACACGGTCACGTGTTATGTGGTCGATCGTTGATGGGTACGTCAGTTTGGTTGAGCTTGTACCCGCGCCTCCTTGAGCGTACCGACGTGTGTATGCAAGGGTGTATCACCGTACGGTATGTACGTTTGTACAGAGAAGCAGTCCAAATAATAAAGGATTATCCCTACGCGGTTCGAGTCCCAGCACGCTATCTTGCACCAGCGTGCACCGCTACCATTGGTCGGGACCATTACTGGATCGCGTGTCTACATGTCACTGTACCACCTTCTACCTAAGCTGCGCAAGCTAAACTACTATGGATCCGCCGTGAACCCGACAGACCAGGCGGCGCAGGACAGGGAAGCGGACAGTATACGATCCACGTGGAATCGGCCCTCGGCCCGCCCGCCCGAAAATTCTAAGCGCTTCGTCACAGCTCGCGCCCGCCATCTCGCTCTCGCCCTCGTGTCCGCCCACCCTCTCCTCCTCCTCCTCCCTCCCTCCTCCTTACCCCCTCTTCCTCTACTTCACCTTACTCTCTAGCCTAGACCTCTAACATGTCCCACGCCGACCATACAAGAGACCCCTGGTGCGTTTACTGCTGTGTGAATTGGATTGGATGAGGGTGTATGAAAGTGCTAATAAGAGCTCGCGTGCAGCCCGTGGGTGATACTGAACGACTTTGGCGGCGCATTTGCGATGGGCGCTGTCGGCGGCGGAATATGGCACGGTATCAAAGGCGCGCGCAACTCGCCCCGTGTACGTCTCCCTCTCCCCATCCCACGTCACCCCTCCCTCTTTCTCATTACTCAATGTTAACTCATCATCGTCGTAGGGCGAACGGCTAACAGGCGCAATCTCAACAATCAAAGCCCGCGCGCCCGTCACCGGCGGCAACTTCGGCGTCTGGGGCGGCATGTTCTCCACGTTCGACTGCGCGGTCAAGGGCTGGAGGCAGAAGGAGGACGCGTGGAACGCGATTATAAGCGGGTTTATGACGGGCGGGTGTCTTGCGGCGCGAAGTGAGTCTTATCAAGGGTGTATACACTGAGAGGGAGTGCTGATGTGGCGTTTGGGAATTAGGTGGGCCGCGCGCGGCGTTCTCGAGCGCGGTGGCGTGCGGGGTGTTGCTGGGCGTGTTCGAGGGCGTGGGCGTGGTGTTTGGACGGGTGTTTGCGCAAAAACCGGAGTTGCCGCCATGTAGGCCCTCTTCCTTCCCTATCTTCGCTAGAGGTTTTGCTGATACACGCTGGCAGTACCCGAGGGCACCGCGCCCGTATAGATTTGTCCGTATCTTTCCTTCGCACTCGCCCTCATACACACCCTCACCTCTACCTTACGCATTTTCACCGTTATGCTCCGATGCACCACTGCTTTCTTGTGGGTCTTGCTACGGTCCCTACCATCTTATAGTGCATTGCCCCGCATGCCCCCCTACGGCGCATCGTCACGCATACCTCGTAATTTACGCATTTCACTCCCCGTTCAATCTCAATTGCAACATACATACACACCCATGCACTCGCGAGATTAAAGGCTTATGCGTACAGCTTCACGATTCGAAGGTCCGATATGGTGCGTAGACCGTGTCGCGCGTGGCGTTGAACTCCACGTCGCGCGTGGGTTGCTTAACGATATGCTCATATGCGGCTTCCTTGCTTGCCCTTGGGAAGCTGTGTGCAGGCTGGCTTCACGGCAGTGGACGAGGGGTGGTAGGATTACGTCGGGCTGCTGAGATCGGCGATTGACTGACATTGACAGCAGGGCCACGGCTCTTTCGCCCTCGAGTTCGTTCTCCTGCCCGCTCTCACTACTTACCTATTTACAAACGCGCCCATCTGTCACCGTGCCGGACTTGGCTGGTGAGGTGGCACGAAAGGAGCACAAAGGGAACAATGGGGACTGTGGCTCCACGTGGTGTAAGAGGCGTGGGACGACAGTTGATCGACGCCCTGCGCATCCTCGGTCGAGTACTCGCCTGTTCGTTCACCACCATCGACAATCTATTCCCCCCCGTCTGCGCCCACTGTGCACCCTGATTGACCCCGAATTGAAAGGCAGTAGCGCCTGTATATCTCAAGGACTTGACTCGACCGACCGGGATCGCCACTCCGCTGAGCCGATTGAACCATTCCAGTCGCGGCGCATCGCTTGGACCACCGAACGCTTACCGTGGCACCATCGCATCTTCTGTCTGTAGCTCTGCACTCAATCCTCGTCAACCTCCCAACTGTATCCTACTTCCTCGCCTCCAAAACCCGAACTCCGGATGTTGAACGCCGCAATGCCACCGTACCCGACCCCGCCACCTTCAAGCGACTCCTTACTCGCTTGCGCACCCGAAGTGGTCATATTCTCCATCGACGAGGTAACCCCTCCTTCCCTTCCACTCACCCCGAACGATTACTGACTGTGGTGCCACCCAGGACCTCACCGCCCCAACATCCTCCCAATCAAGCGTCGACACCACACCCTCCTCCTCCGCCTCTTCTTCATCCTCGCGCAAACACCGCCTCTCGCACCCGCGTCACCAGACCGCCTCCACCTCTTCCTCCCCCTCAGCCACCGCATCCGCCTCTTCGTCAGCATCATCGGCGTCCTCGTCCCGCACGCGCCGCGCAGTCCGCTTCGCCGTCCCCGCCTCCGCCGACAAGAAGCACCGCCGGCGCCTCGCGTCGCCCGAGCCCGCGCGCGAGCGGATCGCGCTGCCGATGGCGCATATGCTCGATAGTCTCGAGTCGCTTAGCGTTTCGGCGTCGTCGTGCGAGGCGGAGTGCACCGGCGCCGATGTGTACTCTGGTGCGGATGTGGGCGGGAGGGAGGAGAGGGGGAGGGGGCTGAGGTATCCGTCGCCGAGCAGCTCGGTCACGAACTCCGCGGGGAGCTGCGAGTCGGTGACCGTGCGCGAGGAGAGAGCGGTGGTGGGGGATGAGATGAGCGAGAGGCACGCGAGGCGGTGGGCGCGGCGGGCTGCGCCGTATTGAGGTTGGATCCCTGGCCCTCTCCCGTCCCGACCCCATCCATCTGTGTCTCCTCCCGCTCGCTCTTCGACCTTCTCAAAGGACGACGACCTCTTCCCTATCATCTTTCACCGACCATCACGAAGAACATCCAAAGACTGTACATTACTCCCCATCTCTCATTTCTCGAAACACGATAACTGTACCACTACATACCCTACCTCTTTCACTTCCTATAGACGAGCATCGCATCGAGACGCTATACTTGTACACTACGCATTGCATTGTTCACTCTATATCTATCTCTGTCATATATGGTGTTCTTCCTGTATCCGCTGATCCCACAGTCGATCGCGCGCCGAGTGGCGATCTGTGTAGAGCGGCCGCGCGACGATCTGCTGTTGCAGCGTCTGAATGTGATGCGGGGGAGCTCGCTGTTCTCCTAAGATGGAGAGGTCTAGCTGCTGCCTCGTCGTTCACCGCGCGCTGTACCGTGTACAGCTCGGCGTGTAAGCATCGCCTGACGACGCGCGGCTTCGACGGAACCGCCATCATGATCACCACAATCACAACGCTGCGCCACTCGAATCACCTTCCCAGACTCCAGTCCCACCACTCTCACATCGATGCCCGTACGAGCCTGGCTCTGACCGTCAATGTCTGTCGAAACGACGGCGCCGGGACAGACACAGGCAGCAACGCTTCGCGGGCGCTGCCGATCGCGACCCGCTGCCGACTCAATGCAGGGCTCTACACAGACCTCTGATGGCGTCTAATCTGCAATGTAGATCATATAAGAACCAAGAGATGCTGTAGTGCTCTCGTCTCCCCCTACCTTCCTCTCCCACCTACCCACCATATCATCTGCTTGTCTGGTCGTCGTCGTCGTCGTCGCCCATGATGCGCTCCTCCCAACCCGGGCCCAGCTCCCCGCCCAGCGTGCCCTACAACACGCGCCCCTCAACCGACAGCCTCAGCCCGCGCGCCAGATGGCTCCCGCCGCCCCTCACACCCTCCTCATCGACCGAGTCCTCCGTCTCCGCCTCCACCTCAGCCTCAATCCCCACTTCAACTTCAATCCCAACTTCAACTTCAACCTCGCGATCGACATCGACATCGAACCCGCCGCGCGAGTTCACGCCGTTCAACCAGATGATCGCGGGCGGCTCCGGGTCCGGCGTGCTCGGTACCGCATCGTCAGGCTTGGAGGGATTGAAGACGATATTGGAGGCCGTGGATACGATGCCGTTCGTTAAGTATTTGGCGTCGGTGGGGATACAGTTGTTGCAGTATGTCATTGTGCGTCCTTGTCCGCGTTATACGAATGAAGAGCAGGAGGGCTGATTGCGTGTGGTGGGTGCGGTGTGTAGGAGGCGCAGATCACGAACGATATGTTCAAGAGCCTCGCGTTCCGCGCGAAGGACGTTATCGTGGCTGTTGCGAGGTCGTGCCATGGGATGCAGAGTATGGCTGTTCAGCTGGAGGACGATCTGCGTCAACTCACGAGGTACGCCTCTTTCATTGCTCGAAGACGAACCTACATGATCCTGATGGTATGTGTGCAGCACGATGGACAGCATCCTCGCCTTCGCATCCGAACGCGCAAGCCGAAGGACGTACCAGAAGCTCCTGAGCAAGGCGGACGACGCGGCGGCCGTCAAAGCGCTCAACACGCAGCTTACACATGCGTTCCATATCTTTGAGGTTCGCGTCTCCGCTCCAGATGCTGTGTCGGAGTCGGTATATCTCACCCATGTACTACAGATCCAATCGAGCGTCAGTACGCGACTCTTACAGGCTCAGATGGTACAACAACTATCAACACTGTCCGTTTCGCCCCAACCCCCAGTACGTTCCGCGACAGATCGCCACTTGCGCTATAAGACTAACCCCCTCACCCAGCAACACCCCCCATTCGTCCCGAACTGCACCCTCCGCATCCGCGAAGGCATCTACCTCATAACCAACGCCTCCACCAGCCACGTCATCGAGACGGTCGACCACAAGCCCTGCGGCGGCGGCGGCGTGCACACGTACCTCGCGCCCTCGCGCGGCGGCCGGCTGCAGACGCAGCTGTGGTCCGTGCAGAAGAAGGCGAACAAGGACTTCGAGTTCATGATCCGCAGCGTGGGCACGGGGCTGTGTCTGGACGTGTTCTTGAATACGAATCGGCAGGGGAGTAAGGTCGTGGCGCATAGTTGGAACGGAGGGGGGAACCAGACGTGGGGGTTTTGGGGGACGAGGCAGGGTGTTTCGTGAGTCCACGTGTACTTTCCTCTCCTCTTGATGATGTTTATACGTGCACCCGTGCAGCGAGGACTACTGTACGATCCGCAGCACAGGCCTCGCGACGATCCTCGACGGCCTCTGCCCGCGCGACCGCTCAAAATGCGACGAGCTACACGCAACAGCCATCCCGCCCTCCGGCCCCACACCCTCCCAAGAATGGACCCTCACGCGCCTCTCCTCCCTCCCCT